TATCCACGTGGAACACCTTTGATGTCCAGGATCTGGGCGCCCATCATCCGGACTCCATATCCAAGGACTACACCCACGACCTGTACAAGATCAACGAGTGGTACCGCGCCTGGCTACCGGACAATGTGGAGGGACGGCACGACACAAAGATCACCTACCAGGTAGAGATTCGCTATGCGAACAACACCAACGAAACGTACACATTCCACGGACCGCCTGGCTCTGAGGAAAACCCCGGTCCCATTAAGTTCACAAGGCCGTACTTCGATTGCGGCAGGTCCAACAAGTGGCTGGTGGCCGCCGTGGTGCCCATTGCTGATATCTACCCCAGACACACCCAGTTTCGGCACATTGAATACCCCAAGTAAGCTTTGATTGAGAGCCACCTTATTCCCTTTTCCTAATCCCCTTGATTCTTCTCAGATATACTGCTGTTTCGGTACTCGAGATGGACTTTGAGCGCATAGACATCAACCAGTGTCCTTTGGGTGAAGGCAACAAAGGACCAAATCACTTTGCTGACACGGCGCGGTGTAAAAAGGAAACCACGGAATGTGAACCACTTCACGGTTGGGGCTTCAGGCGAGGTGGCTACCAGTGCCGTTGTAAACCAGGTTGGCGGCTGCCCAACGTGGTGCGGCGACCCTATCTGGGCGAGATTGTGGAGCGGGCCTCGGCAGAGCAGTACTACAACGAGTACGACTGCCTCAAGATTGGCTGTAGGTTTAACTTATCATTATTCAGTAGCTTGAAGTGACCTGTCTTATTTTTAAAGGGATCCAAAAGCTTCCTATTGTGTGGGAAAAGGCCCCCTACCACATACGCCAAAAATATTTGGACCGGCACCAGGAATATCGCAACTACTCCACCGGCTCAAGGGCCCTCCATACTGAGCATTTGAATATTGATCAGGCGCTGAAGTACATTCATGGAGTCAACTATCGCACTTGCAAAAAGTAAGACCAAACAGAGTTTGCCCAGCCAAGGTTACTTCAATATACTGATCAATTATGTTCTCCCCTTGACAGCTTCCATCCGCAGGATCTGATTCTGCGCGGCGATGTCAGCTTCGGCGCCAAGGAGCAGTTCGAGAACGAAGCCAAGATGGCCGTGCGACTGGCCAACTTTATTAGCGCCTTCCTGCAGGTAAGCAAACGATTCAGAGCAAACGATTCCCATCGCCTTCACGCTAAATGAAGAGCAATAATTGATAACCCGACACCTATTAAGAGCCTTCGACGACGGCTCTTGAAAACTTCTCAAGTGTAAATTATAATTTTCCACGCGTAATTCAACTTCCTCGAATTTCCTGCAATGCCAGTTTCTCGGTTTTTACCGCTGCTGCCGATGCTTCTCTTACTATTTGGCATTTCTGCGTTGCCAGCCGCGCGGCGTGAATTAAATATTCAGTGTCAAACCATTACCAAATGCTAAATTCATTAGTTTGAGCGCCGAGGACACGAAAAACGGGTTCGCCACAAGGCGTCGTCTTCATTAAAGGCCAGCCACAGCCGCAGCAGCAACGAAAACCTAGGGAAATCATGGGGATGAGCGTCTCCTTTCAGCTCGCTCTCTGTGTCCATATTTGCACAAGTTGTTAGCATTGAAAAGCAGTGGGGGGAAACTCTTATGTTTCCCAACACCCAAAATGTTCCCCAAAACTCAAACCCAAACTAAAACCCGATTCTCCCCCTTGCAGATATCGGATCCCAACGAGGTGTACTCGGGCAAACGTGTGGCCGACAAGCCGCTGACCGAGGATCAAATGATCGGCGAGACACTGGCCATTGTCCTGGGCGACAGCAAGGTTTGGTCGGCCACAATGCTCTGGGAACGCAACAAGTTCACCAATCGCACATACTTCGCACCCTATGCCTACAAAACGGAGCTCAACACGCGAAAGTTCAAGGTGGAGGACCTGGCGCGCCTCAACAAGACGCACGAACTCTACACGGAGAAGAAGTACTTCAAGTTCCTCAAGCAGCGCTGGAACACCAACTTCGACGACCTGGAGACCTTCTACATGAAGATCAAGATCCGCCACAACGAGACAGGTGAATACCAGCAGAAGTACGAGCACTACCCCAATTCCTACAGAGCGGCCAACATCAAGCATGGATACTGGGCTCAGCCGCAGTTCGACTGCGACGGATACGTGAAGAAGTGGCTGGTGACCTATGCGGTGCCCTTCTTTGGCTGGGACAGCCTCAAAGTCAAGCTGGAATTCAAGTGAGTAGAGGGGACAATGTGGAATAGGGGTTGGGCTGGGTTGGGTTTGGATTGAGAGACTTGTTGGGCCGGTCCGCTGCGTGCCGCCGTCGCGGGCCGCTCAAACCCCTTTTTAGGGCACAGTCCCACTCCCAATCCCTATCCCAGTTCTATTCACATGCAAATGTCTAGGTTTGATTGTCTAATTTTGGAGTGTTGACAAGACCTAACTTCTGACTTGTGACTTCTGGCATTGTGATGCAAATGGGAGCAATTAAACTGACTAATTTGTTTGTTTTCCGCAGGGGAGTGGTGGCAGTCTCCATGGACATGATGCAGCTGGACATCAACCAGTGCCCGGACTGGTACTACGAGCCAAATGCCTATAAGAACACGCACAAGTGCGACGAGCAGACGTCCTACGTGAGTACAAAACAAATATTTAACTATTTCTAATAACAAGGTTTCTTCCATATTAATGTTACTACCTAAATCGCTCTGTGATCAGACTGTTTAATAAATATATCTATTTTTCAGTGCGTTCCCATCATGGGTCGTGGTTATGAAACCGGAGGCTACAAATGCGAGTGCCTGCAGGGCTACGAATATCCTTTCGAGGACCTAATCACCTACTACGACGGCCAGCTCGTAGAGGCCGAGTATCAGAATATCGTGAACGATGTTGAGACCCGCTACGATATGTTCAAGTGCCGATTGGCCGGCGCTTCGGGTCTGCAATCCGCCGTGGGACTTGTGGTCGCCCTAATCGGGCTCACGCTCACCCTGCTGTATAGATTTAGTTAAGCAGCCGCACGCCAAATAACTAATGCAAACTTCCGTCCAAACGAAACTCTCATCAAATCTCTCCACAAAAGATATAACTACAAAGCAACACAGACACAAAATTGACACCCAAAAACAAAACGAGCTGCCAGCCCAGCTCTCCGCCGTTGCTCCCTTTGAACATTGTCATCATTTATCTGCAAGGCGATTAAGTTGTAGACATAATCTATTACAATGAATCTGGTTATTTGTCATTTCTATCAAAGGCGGTAGGAGCAGAAGCAGCAGCGGCAGCAAAAGCGGCAACGGCAGCGTCGGCAGAAAAGCGCAAACAGCCGCGCCTACTGCGCTCAGATTACGGAAATGCCGTGTAGCTCGTCTTTTTCTCCTTCGGAGATCCTCTCTAATGTCCGTGAAGTCGCACAGCTGTGTATGTGAGTGTGTGCGGCGATCGCAAACCTGTTAACATCGGAACCCAGTTAGGCCCAGTCGTACCTACACCCATCGGGGAGGTCGTCCAGGTCCAAGCTGAGGGTTGTTTGTGCCGCACGCACACCTTTTTTTCCTACCAACGGATGGCACAAAAAATCCAACGCCTGCCGTCGTGTGTTTTTCTTATATTAAATCGTCGATGGTCCGTTGGCTGCGATTTTTTGCCTGAATTAAATATATATGCCGATGATGCTGCTGCTGCTGTGGCGTTTTTTCCGCTTTTTGTTTTTTGCGCCTTGATTATCATATGCGCTTGAATTTTTATTATCTGTACCCTGAGAACTTTTTCTATGCGCCGCAGGAACCAGTTTATCAGCCACTTGGTCTTCTACCAGGGCAAAAAAGAAATCTCCAGCGTTTTTTCATTAAAAACTTTATAGCCATAGGTAGCTGGACAGGGGCACAAAAAATCTTTTTCACACATTTTTCATAGTCATTTCAGGGCATCGGCGGTGGGCAGTAACTGTCTCAGCATTCGGGCAACTCCTCCATTTCCATTTGGAAAAATGCCCGGGTCTGCGGAAACACGTTCGAGTGGCCGACCGTGTCCGCTTTTCGTTTTGTTTTTGGGAGTCTTGTCCCCCTGACATTCCACAGTAGATTTGTAGATCAGTACAAAGAAAAAAGCAATCAAAAGTGTAAATTGTGCCTTAAAACTGAATTAAGTGTTCGTACTCGAATATTTGTAATACCACACAGACTAATCGAACGTCCGTCCAATGACAAGTCTATTTTGTATTATGTATCTATCTTAGTGTTAAGTGCATTAAGAAAAATCGCAGAACTTTTACAACATTCTTTTGTAGCCTAATGTATAGATTTTAAGTGCCTTTTAATTCTAAAACAATACATATACACAATGTTTTAATATATGATTTTGTAGTGAAACAATCGACTTACCAAACTTATTCATTTTGCATGCGAATGTCCCCAACGTCAGTCGAATTGATGGGCGCTTCCGATTCAAGTTGTTCTCAAGATGTGAATTTTTCTTCACGCTTTGCAATTTTAACGTATTACGATCGAAGAGCACAAGTCAAAATCCAATCTTTGAATTTTTCAGGTTTTATAAAAGTGCGAAATTATACCACAATATATGATATTATGCTTTAGAGAACAAAAACAGAATATAAAAGATCTTGGAACTCCAAATTAAATTCACGCCGCCCGTCTAATCGCCGAGCGCCGCAAATTCTCCTCCAATTTCTTGATCTTATATATATTCGCGGTCACACGATTGCCCGCCTCGATTTGAATTGGTTCGCGGTATCGATCGGATTGCAATCGGCTTTCCTAACCACGAAATATAAAGAATAATTTCTAATTTGGACTTATTTTTGATCCTTTTAGAATTTTAACGAATTTTTGGAGGTGGATTTATTCGGAATGGTTGATGTTTTAATACTGAGACAATTTTTACTCTCGTAACCCTGACAGTTCTCAACTCGAATGATAGGTTGCCCATGGCCTGCTGGTCCTGTCCCATTAAAACTAAAGTAAATACCAATCGTTTTTAATTTTTAATTAACTATTTATTTCGTGTTCGGTTTTCGTGTGTTCTAAATACATCCCAGCTATACCATTGCCTCTCTTTTGGGGGCGGGTAGGTAAAAGTAGGTAGTGTACGCAGTTGGTTATCAAACATTTTTAAAAACTATCACAAATCAATTATTGGATGTAACTACACAACTTAGTTCATATAACAGGCGACAACACCAAACCGAATGTACCATTTTGGGGATTCCCAGATGGGCTCAAAGGAGAGGCGGTCGCGTTAATACAACAGTATCCTCGTTGATTCATTTCGACTCTACAACACTTCGAATTACAAGTTACGAACAACACATAAACATTTAAAAAATACTAATACTTCGATTCGTTTTTGACTCGGTTCACATTCAGTTCGCGTTCAAATAAAAAACTTTAACAAAAGTCCAATCCACGGTTAACGTTAAGTTTAAATGAAAAACCATTTGGATCTAGTCGCTTGATGAGCTTACAGTTTAATGGGTTTCTTAGCCGGGTGAACTTTGAATTTTTCTCGGTGACGTCTATCAACTATTTTCCTTAAATAACTTGGATTTTCTTGTTCGTTTTTTCGTTATCGTTTCCTTCTTAAGGTGTGCCTTTGAGTGAATCCACTTTAAAATATTTGACTATTCATTGCCTTTATAGTTAATGTATATAATTGCTAAAACAATTGGCTTCGATTCCTTACACAATTTCGTAATAATTATGAGTATTAAATTATAACCGTATATAGTTAACTTTCGGGGCACTTTTGAGCTCGATTCGCGGGCTCCTTCTGGGTTTCTGTTTCTGTATCTGTATCTTGAGACTGAGATTCAAGGCGAGGCAGGGTTATCATGGTCATGGATTCCGTTGACTGTAGGAGATTCTAATCTCCGTGCTGTATCTGTAACTGTAGCCTTTAAATGTGTTATATTTGAGCAAAATTGTAACTGCATGCGATCCGATTGAACTTTTACATCAACAACAACGACAATAATTATGACATACTGACACATAAACTATAACCGATCTAATTAATCTGATTGTATGCTTTTGATATGCCAGGAGCGAGAAGTCCCTTAATCCGACGGAGCATAATATACCACGGTGGACTTCCTGCGGAAGCCGAGATTGAAGAAGGACGTCTCCGACTTCTTGCGCTCGTGCTCCTGCTCGTTGCCGAAGTAGGAGAAGAGACGCCCGGTGGCTCCGGTGTGGGACCGATGGTGCTCCGGTCGCCCGGCTGCACCACCGTGGACACTGTGGCTGCTGCTCTGGCGGTGGATCTTGGTCAGCGAGGTGTGCGAGTGCTGGCGCTGCAGGTGCTGCTGGTGGAGCGAGTGCTGCCGGTGGTGGTATTGCTGCTGGAGGTGCTGCTGGTGGGTCTGCGGATGCTGCTGTTGGTGGTGCAAAAGTTGCTGGTGATGCTGTGCGTTGGCGCCGCCGTGGCCATGTAGAAACCCAGTGGTGGTCGGCGACAGATCAGTCATCTCACACGGCCAGAGGGTGAACGAAGATGGGACCTTATGTATCCCGTCCGATAGTCGATAATGGTGGGATGCTGACCTGTTAAAGTACCGCTCCGAGGGCCGCGACCCCATCTATATTTTGTGTGTGGGGAGATAGTTTTTTTTTTTTTTGTTTTGGTAAAGACAGAGTGTCACATGTTAGTATCTGAAGGACTAGCTATCTGGTTAATATTATCTTCTGTTTGGCATTAGTTTGATTTACTTTCTAGGCATTTCTTAGGTGTTCAACTCTAGGGCGCTACATACACTCACATTTACATAGAGTAAGCGCTTGCATGTCTATATCTTTTGGGACTAGGCACTGCAGGGGTACAGGACTCCCCGGGAATTGGGTTCCGGGCGGGATCTCGTGTCTGCAGTGCATAGATACAATAGCCTAAGCGCTAAGACTTTTTACTGATTTTTTACTGATGTTCTGTGTTTCTTATATACAAATTTATCGTGTGTGTGTGTGTTGTGAGTGTGGTGTATTGTGGAGTATGTGTTGGTGTTTCGGGGGTTAAGCGGGGTCAAGTTACGGGTGCCGAAAATAGTTACATTAAGCTGTGCTCTCCAAAGTTCATAAGTAGCTTGATTAGCAAAGATACTTCTCAACAACATAGGCAAGCTGTAAACATTACAAAGCAAACGAAACTTAAAAAAAGTTTTAAAGACTTTTCAAAAATTTTAGATATTGGGGGAGAGGTAGTGATCTGGTGAGCTGTACATGGGGAGGATTGGGGGTGAAGCTAGTGATTCTAAGAGCTGATCAAAAATAAACTTATGGGACTCTCACCGTTCGATCGTTTGAGTTTCTCAGTCGGAAACTTGAATGTTACTTAACGTAGTTTGGTACAAAAGTGTTCTTAACAGTCGCATAACAGTTGTAAAAACTTTTTGGGTTTTCGGGGAGATGCGTGGGCGTGGCAGTGGCCGGGGGCCTAAGCAAAAACAGTCGGAAGCCACACGCCGGTTTGGTAACATTCATGCGATTGGCTCAAACAACGTATGAGTCGGTTTTGACCGCATAATACTTTCGATTGTGTTTGTAATGGGTAGCATATATATGCTGCGATCTGTGGGTCGAAAATCCAAAAAGAGTCCAGACAGAAGGAGAGAGAGAGAGAGATAGGGGAGATAGAAAGAGAACGCATAACTTAAGGGGATGTCGACAAAAGGATAAAAGTATAAAAATCAAGATGATGCCTGTTATGGTACTATTTCTACGAGGGGCAACTGTACCTTGGTAGTACTTACAGCTAGCGATTTGATCAAGTTTCGTACTTACCCCGATCTGGCAAGTGGTGTAATTGAGTTTCAGAGTTTTGTTATTTTTTTTGGAAAATCTTTTACAAAATATATCTTGTCTTGTTCTGTTTTTTCTTTGTTATCTGTACAATTCAGTGACTTGTCCAAAACTCTTAGCTTATATGGTGCGTGCGCGTGATGTGCCGCTGCGCATATCTGGTGGACGGTCCCGTGACTTCAGCTCGTTTACAAAGCGCTGGCCTACCGCTACATGGTTTATATGTGTGGTCATGTTCGATCGTTTTTTGCAGTGTATTTTTGTGGTTTTGCAATGGGGGTCATTCAATTGGGCCACGTCCCGTTCGGTTGTGTGTGGTGTGTGTGTGTAAAGAAAGAGAGAGAACAGTTCGAGAAGAGGAGATAGTCCAGAGAAACACAGAGAGAGAGAGAGAGAAATAGAGATAGGCAGGTTGTGGCAGAGGTGAAGAAGAAAAACAAGAAGAAAAAGAAGCAATAGTACAGATTAGCGGTGTTACTATATACAAATCAGGAGATTCTACTGCTAGAGATCCGATAGATCTCCAAACGTGGGTTGTAAACGATACAGCAGCTACACTTTGAGGGCATATGAGGGGTTTTTATCCTGCATACCTCCACTGGGGGAAAGGCTACCGCTGCATCGTTTACACCCAGCATTTTGTTTCAAATGGCCTCCAAAAAGAATATCATACAAGAAACTGTTCAACGGAAGATCATGATTATTGCATCTACTCCGGTGGCTCCGAAAGTGAGTGGGTTGGTGGTTTTTGGGTGATTGGGTGAGTCTGTCATTTGGCATCGATATCGGATCGATACACTTTATGTGAGGTGACTTTAGCTGGCGGTGGGCATTTTAGGACCCTCGGATCGACTTACCTTAGCACTGGGCCAAAAGAAGAGTTAACCGAAATCTGGCAGACCGAGACTACTCAGTCGTACTGTACTTATTAACCAAAGGCTATCATACTGTTACTCGGATTAGCTTATGAAAAGTAAATGGAAATCAAAACTTAGATGCGAGAGGTAAGGTTAAGAGAATCACTTGCAATCCCTCACAAACCAAACGAAACCAAATCAAACCCGAATTATCAAAAGTCTAGGCAAGAGTTGACTAAGGATTATAACGAAATCGAATGAAAAAACATACTTCGCTTACAGTTGGATTTGGATAAATATATTAGTAAGTTTGTTGATTGCTTGTCTCGGTATGGGCTGGGTATTTAGAGTAAGGTATTCCTATATGGTATAATAACGAAAAACCCTTCTTTCAGATTTCGGGCACCGTGTTGTTTATGCTTAGGTTGTAAGAAACATATTCAATTCTCAGCTCAGCCTAAACTCGAAACTCACCTCGCATTGTGACCCAGCATTATGATGCTTCTGCAAAAAGACAATTGAGAAATGTCGACACGTTTTTTATATATATAAGAAGTAGGTAGAGTATATAGCATAGAGTAGAGCTTGAAGAATTTAAAGTTAGGCAGACAGATCGCACAGAAATAAAGGAGTAACTCAAGAGCAGATCAGTTTGGAAAACGAAAAACTGTCAATTCGAAATGAAAACGAAGAGAAAACGAAGGTCGGTCAAACATGCCAATCAGTAACAATTTGAATGCATTTTAATGTATATCATTATTTAGGATTTAATCGTTTTTAAAGGTCGGGTCTTTGTTTTTATTTGGTTTCTCTATGGCCGGTAGCATCCTGACATAGTATTGGGGAAATGATAATGGATACACGATATTACTTGGGGCGATGGGGATTTAGATACCCAGCTTTGGTAAATTCGTTCATGCTGCGATTTAACATCTGCAAAACATCTATGGTAACTTGCGCTCTCCTCTCTAAGTGCAGACAGTTTGAGTAACTAAAGAACAAATAACCAAAAATCGAATTTATATACACGAACAGGTTATAGGTTATGGCCAAGTCAATAGATTTAACCCAATTACAAGAAGCTGCAATTCAGTAGAGGTCACACAACAAACAGCCAAACATATCATCATCATCATCATTATCATAATCACCAGCATCCATATTTTTGGAGTTCTGCATGGATCTTGAAATGGAAACTTTCGCAACACCAGCGAAACTCAAACTACATATGTACGTTGAGGTGGGCGTGTGTGTTTCGGAGTGTGTTGTGGGTGGGTGTATTAATTGTTCAGGTGTGGGAACTACTACAGTAATAGAACCTCGGCACCAGCAACCAACATTATCTGGATGTTGCCAAGGATATATCTTACACAAATGGGCAAAACAAAAAGATTGACCCTGAGATCGGTCTGGTTATACCCCGGCATCTGAGGTACATATTTGGGGTATGGGGTTGCTGATATGCCGAAACGAAACGAAATCATCAAAAGTATCAACAACAGTAAGTATAAGTACATTTATGGTAACGGCAGCGCCAAAAAAAACGTTAAGAACAACAACGAGATGGGATTGTCAACCAATTGCACAACAGCCGAGGTAGTTGGTGTCAGTAAAACGGCTTTATTTAACGGTAACGATATATAGATATATGGTTCGTAAAATGTGTGTAGAGGTATATTCGGTATATAGTTAATTGGGTGTACATAAAGGCAAGTATATATATGGTAACAGTTAGATACACAGGTCTAGATATTTCTTTCAACAAGGGTGAGCGCAAAGTTGGAAGCCAAAGTGTTGTAGTTTTGCTTGTGGGATATATATTTTTGTGTTTTTATACCTATAGATAGCATAGAAGTTTTTGTTGTTGTATTCAGTAAAAAATCTGCCAAGTTTCTGTTACTTATCATTAGCAAATTATCAAGTCAAAGTTGAGTTGGAAGGCTCGTTATCTTAGGATGCCTACGGTTCTAGTTTATATCTAATGGTGTCTTGAATCAAGGATTTGGTATGGTTTTTTTTTGTATTTGATTTTGGTTTTGGGTTTTTGGCTTAGCTTGTGTTTTTGGCCTACCGAATGAGCATAGCGAATTTCAGCTAATTCACAACAACATTGGTAGCGGAGTATGGCACGAACGCTCTTTCTGCAAGATGTTTGTTTATATAAAATTAAATATATAGTTTATGTGAGTATACAGGAAATTAACAGCGTTTCATACAAATCAAACATGAGAAGAAATTTTAATTTTTTCGATGATTTATTTTAACGTTTGCTTTAGTCATTAACGCCACTGAGTGGCAACAACATGAAATCATAAATTTGAAATAAATTCCAAAATAATATACAACCGAAATGAACTGAAGCCGTAAAATATTCGAAACAAACACGCACGAGACTTTTACTCTGACAAAGAAAATTAGCATAATAATTGCATTACAATTATTCTTAGCAATATGAGTAAATACGAGAAATATTTCCCACTTACCGCAACAATCGCGTTATATAGTCTGGCCAGTGGCGGGGAACATAACGAGGAAAAATCCGATGCCAATCAGAATGACTCCGGCCAGCTTCATGCCCGCCAAAGTTCGCACTGTAGAGTATGACATCGGAGTGCTAAGGGATCGAATGAGATGTGAATTAGATATCTTCTTATAGAATTTTATAAACTAAAAAAATGCCTTAATTTCTTTTAAACTATTGTACTATTTTCTAAGAATAAGAATGATACTCTGTTACTTTCCGGTATCAATTCAAGTTTTCTGAACAAAGTTTGACTACAATATTGTAAAAAGTTAAATCGCAATGCCCCCACTACAAAGATCAAATGGTCTTACGTGCCCACGAGTGCTCGGCTGTAATATTACAATTTAAAACAATTTATAGTCACGGAATCCTTCAGACGAAAAGAGGCTAACCCAAGTGTCCCAACTAACCCCCATGTGAGACCTGGAAGTAATTCCGAGGAGCTAGCCTGTGTACATACCACCAGAAACGGGCACAGCGGTAATCAGACCCAATGTCACAAACATGTTGTACGTAACGGCGGCACTGAACTGCATCAGAACGTGGAAAACTGCAATCAAAATTAATTACACCGATAAAAGTTAACGGCACGGCGTATGCAGTGGGATCTGGGGCTAGGGAATGGGTCCTACCGAGGAGCAGGAGGCTCGCCGCGAACAGCAGGTTCCAGGGTATGCTCTCCGATGTGAGGCTTTCCGTGCCAGTCAGGTAGAGTCCCAGCACCACGGGCCACAGCAGCAGGGCGTTGAGGAAGCCGAGGGCGGTGAATATGAAGGCGATTTGGCTCACCGGCGGATCGCCCATCACCTTGCGGAACATAACCTGGAAAGCGACAGGCCAACATGAGCACGACATGGCCCGCACACGAACCGGGAAAATGGGACATCCAAATGCGGGTAGGTGGAAGGAGGGATACTCACCCTAAACACGGCATAGCCGGCTCCGGCCAAAGTGGCCAGAACCACGCCGCTCAGGGTTCGGCTTTCCGTGATTCCATCCATGTAGGCCAGTAACGCTATTCCCGTGTCGCAGAGGATGATGGCCACGATCTGCAATAAAACGGTCGTTTAACCAGGATTTCAATGAATTTAAAAATAAACAACGAAGGGGTTTTAATATGACTTTAATTAATAAACAGCAAAGGGTTTTATGACATGACTTTAATTAATAACCCTTTACAACTACAATGTAGGTTATTAACAAGACATCTGCCCACTAAATTGCTGGGGAGAAATTTAAAAATGTTAGGAGTTTTACTTTATACTTTGTCTAGTATAATCTTGTTTTTTAATACTTTTTTTTAAAATTGTAGTTAGTAGTTAAGGTAATAATATAGTATCAGGGGGCTATAATAAAGTTCTGATATAGTGGAAAGAATATTTTCGTTTAGTTTCGAAGCCATTAAAATCTCCAGGAATTTACAATCACTTTATAAACATACAATCTGTAATATTGCTTGTCAGGCGAAACAAAAAAATCTAAAGAGCCATGGTTTTGTAGAAAACCTGCTGTTTAATCAGTTTATAAGATGTCCTCCCGCTATGATCGAGCTGTTACCATATTCTCGCCGGACGGTCACCTGTTGCAGGTGGAATACGCCCAGGAAGCCGTTCGAAGGGCTCGACGGTGGTCGGCGTTCGGGGGGCCAATGCGTGGTGTGGGCGTGGAGAAGAGCTCGGTGGCCAAGTTGCAGGAGAATCGCACGGTGCGCAAGATTAACATGCTCGA